CTATGAGGTTTCCACTAAGTATGTCACGTAGAGACCAACCGCACAGAAATCACATGGAAGTATAATATCAATATAATGTATAATAATGTATATTATGTATAATAATGTATATAATAATATAATATAATGTATAATAATGACATTATACTTCCATGTGATTTCTGTGCGGTTGGTCTCTGCGTGACATACTTAGTGGAAACCTCATAGGAAGCGGCTCTGAGGAAGGCGAAATCCGCCGAAACGTCAGCTTAATCGTGACAAAGAATAATAACACCTCGCGTTTGCACAACAAAAATACGAAGAAAATTACTAATAACAGTTATTATTACTATTATTATTATTATTATTATTATGCTATTTTCGGCATTATTCACTCATACAGAAAAGCGCCGTACTGATAAGAAACAGAGAAGGTTTTGTTGGGTATTGCATAGATAGTGCATGCAGTATAATTAAGCAGCACTCTTGTGTCCACAACAGCATGTGCATCGCCCGTTCCAATGCGTTGTTTTGAGCAGTTGTGGAATCAGGTGTGCTGGTCGTTCAATTTCAGGATGGAAGGATTGGGGGCCAATCTAGATTGAGATTCGAGCTTCTACCATTCCCTTATAAACCACATATCACGACGTTTTCTTGGTTGCACCACAGCAGTCCTTCACCTCTATACTTCTTCGTTCCTGACCACTTATCGTCACAGTTGATGTCCCATGTGAAACCAATTTTTATGCATTTTCACCTTGAATTTACACGTCATAATTGCTTTGATCTTGTGCTGGGGCAAATAGAATCCATCATCCATCCTTTGGCATTGGCAAATTTGCACCAAACACATCTGGGAGAATAAAAGCACTGACTTGACATATCAGTAGGCTAACGCAAGTCATTTTATAGGCCAAATATACATGCCACCCTCTCTACGATGCTTAATGGAGTCCAATGCACGGATCATCCTTAAGAGACTGATCAACGCCTAACGTTTTTGCGCCTTACTGGTGGATATTCCACAATGTTATGCCATTTCTCACCTTTTCTCTTCAACTTCGTGCGGTTTACTAGCAGTCGGTACTCACTGCCAATTGAAACCAATCTCGTAAGCGTGATTTAACGTTATTTCCCAACACTGCGAAAACATATGAATTTTGTGCTGCTGTTCTCGGATTTCTAACTATTTGCTGTTCCAACTTTATATTTGCCGTCTACATCCATCACGTGCATAAGTTTCATCCGGTCAGAGTATAGCATAGGCCGTTTGCAGTGCAGTGACAGGCGGATGTCATCATCTCAGCATTTATATCCAAAGCGGAAAACTCCTGGTAGTGGAACGCAGAACCGGATTCCCATTGAGGCTGCCTGTTCATGTTACATATAGTAAACAGGGCAAAGGAGTTCTATTCTTTAAACCAGCACATATAACTAGCGAAGTGGAAAAGCACTGTATGAAAGCTTTACTAATTCCAAAATACGCCTGTCACAAATGCTATCCAAGAGAGTAGGTAACGCAGTAGTAGTGAGGTTGATCATTATGATGGACCTACTTAGGCACTGGCTTGAACGTGCCCCAGGAGCACCAAGGCCCTCGTTTCTCCGGGGTACAGAAATTGACACCAAATTTGCCAAGGTCACTCCCTCTAATCAAGGGAACGCCCTAGCACAGTTGTTTCAAAGGAAAATCGACTCGACCAGCATGTAATTTTGTGACGAAGACGAAATTCCTTAAGCGACTGAACCTACAAACCAATTCGATGAGCTTCGTCGATGGTGGATGCCAAGGAATGAACGAAATGCATACAGTGCTGGAATCCGCACAGTGTGGTATATGTGATGGCGGGTTACTTAATAATTATGATTGTAATAGTAATAAATGCTGTTTATATTCTACTATATCTGTTCGCTGGGTTACCACCGCAATGAGACCGCTTCTATTGAGGGGATTTGTAATTGCCCTTTACTGGTCAAGTGGAGACAAGCTAGATATGCACAAATAATAGTTCGTAATGGATAGGACTAAAAAAGTCTAGTTCTTGCTCTGATTTGAGTGCTTCATCTTCACTATTTCTCAAAATTTCAGAGCTATTCACATGGAGTTGCTTGAAGGATCTCAAAGACTGTGACCCATTTCAGAAAGTACGTTTGTATGAAACAAGGGACAGATATCTTTGAAAATTCTTAAAAATTGTCAATGCTCTATGTGCAGTAATTTTTAATCTGTTGGGGAAGCATATGTATTTTAAATAAAAACAAAGTAAGAACCGTAGAAACTACACAGTGTAGTTCGAATTTTAGGAGTTCTTCCTATGTGCACCTTAGGTTTTGAGCATTCATCTTTAATTGAAACGCTCTAGTAGATTTCGAAATGCATGTTATCTTAGCATGTCACATTGAGGGTAATATTTTCAGGATGAGGATCGAGGCTACTTGAAAACAGTGGCTATCTTTATGTGTCTGGCGTTGCTCTTCGAGTTGATATGCATAGTCTGGAACTTCGTTGCCTTGTGAGTTCAAACACATTCACGGTGAACTGAGCCATGCGGGCTTAACAGATGACAAAAAATGATCAGGCAATTGAAAAAACCCATGCCAGGTTATTTAAGATGGACTTCTTCAGTTAAAATAAAAGATGAGGAATTTCTAGACTCCGTTTTCCTTGATTAGCAAATACGAGGTTGTTACTGCAGTATTAATACAGAGTAGATGACGTTTCGGCGGTCTCGCCTTCTTCAGAGGCCGGAAGAGTCAAATTAATACACAATCCATTCAGTAAAGCACTACCATAACCTTAGCAGACGAAGCAACACATTAGTAATAATCGCATAGTGAATTATTCTAGCCTCTGAAAATTCAGAAATCGCTGAAATATCAGCTACTGCGTATTAATAAATACTATAGAAAACAGTAAGCAGGGCACGTTCGGCCCAGTGGTTGGGGGCACCACTGCCACACACACGTGGAATCGATCTCAGCGCCAATGGCCGCACTGTACTAGTTAAACAGTTTTGAAAAACTCATCACTTCGGTCAATTTCTGGGGAGATGCATCAAATCCTTGTCCCATTCCCGACCGCACTCACATAAAAGATTTGTTTGGACAGCATCTTATCTACTTCATCCCCACTTCCACCTCCACCCGTTCAAAGTACAAACGACTGCTTTCCTGAAGGTTATTGATTTCATGCTGTGACACTCATAGATTCAAATTTTAGCTAGAACAGCAATCTTTTCCGCCTATGGTTAAGAAGAGTGTATTATTCATGACCAAATGAATTTCAAATATTCGAAAAAATCAATCGGAGTCCTCATTGATTTGGATTTTAGCTACAACTATCTTTTCAGTTTCTATTTAATAATAATGTACCATTCAACAGCATCAAACTTTCAGGCACCCAAAAAAATCCATTGGGGTTGTGATTTTAAGCTCTCAACTTCGCTGAAATTTCTTTGCTTATGATTAGAGAATGGCGAGTGTGGGGCAGTGGTTGGAGGCACCACTGCGACATACACGTGGAATCGATCCCGGCGCCCATGGCCCATTAAGCCTTCCATCCCTCCGGGGTTGGCAAATTGGTACCAGACTGACTTGTCTGGGAAGATAGCAGCACTGGCTCGATACATCGGTAGGCCACCGCGAGT